AAACTCTCCCTTACCTCTAAAATAGCATAATCAAACTTCCCAGCAATGTAGACAACATTTCCTGTTGGGTAAAGAGTGCGCAACCGAAGGCTGACATTTAACTCCTTCTCAAGCCATGGTCTGGTAATAGTATAGTGGGCATAGCTTCTCCCTGTCATTGACATGGGACTGTAACACACATTCTGGCAGTTTGTTTCATTGTCTTGACAAACTGGTCCAGCAATTCCCTCTGGACACTCACAAGAGTACCCCAAAGCAGATCCATCAGGTATGCACATCATGTTATCAGGACATGGCTTATTTGCACATTTATTGACTGCACTGTCACAACGTTCACCTGAATATGAGAGTTGTGTCAATAAATCATTGAAAAATAAACACAGCACCTTAGTTGAATAGGTAAGAAAAAGTTTAGTATTTTGGAGAGAAACTAATTTTACCTGAGTAACCCTGTGAGCAATGGCAAACAGTTTCAAGTTGATGATGAGGTGATACAAAACTTGATAGTTGTGTGCTTACAACCGCAACTGCAGATCTATTTAGAGAAACCCTGTCTTCACAGGTCCCAAAGGCACAGAATGAGTCTGTACAATGCCTTTGAGCCACTTGGTCAAGTACAAGCCCTGTTGATGTCTCCAGATCCTCAATGTGAGATGAAAGTACTTATGTTTCGTAGATTGTCCACAGGAACAAATCCAGCACCATTTGCACTTCGGACAGCAAACAGAACCATAAGGAGATTTGAATAACTCCTCTTCACTATTCGAGAGGAAGATGTGTGGGCGTCCTACGTAACAAAGGAATTACATGGAAATGTGGAAAATAGAATTCTATGAAAATTCTTGTGGATTTCAAGACATACCCGAGCACTGACAAGAATTACATCTTTGGCCTTAACAGCAAGAATTTTATGCATTGCTCGAATGAAACATGAAACCCTTGCGGTGATTCTTCAGAAAATCTTGAGCTGTTATTCCTACAAAACTGATACTCAGTGAGTCTTTCAACATTACATCTGATACTAGCTCCACCCAAACCTGAAACAGCAATTTTTGTTAACCGCAGATCAGAATTTTAGACATTTTTCAATAAGGGAGTAGATCCTAGTATTGTGGTAACATACCTTAATCGTTGCATATGACACAAATTTTCCATCACTCACTGATACATTCAGTTTGTACTGGCCAACGTCAAGCTGAGGAGAGGCCACAATAGATCCATTATTGGAAATAATATTGAACAAAGCAGGCTGACTAGCTGCAGGTTGCTCTGTTGCCATTGGTACAAGTTTGTACGCAAGTTGATCATACATGTCTTGATCAGAAGCATGAATTCTTCCAACCTCTCCACCAACAAAATTATCTTGGAAGGAATTGATCCAAATTTCTAGAGGAGTAACAATAGGAGGGCACTGGGACTCTTCCACAACCTGATAAGACACAAAGAAAACACAGATTATCCCTTCATTCACAAATTTTGCAATATGTTCAAAGTTTAAAGATATGCACAGACCTTGACAACCACCCAAGTGTCTGACGATAATGGTGGAAGTCCATAATCAAATACTCCAACTTGTAGCACATATGTATCTTAATTTTTATGGTTAAACTTTGCAGCGGTGCGAATATCACCATTTTGTTCAATGCGAAACATACCAGCATCATTGCCGGCAACTATTTCAAAAGTGAATGGTTCAGTGTTTGGGAATGTATCAGCATCCGAAACAGTTAAGTGGCATAGAGCGTAGCCAAGCGGTTTGTCCTCCTAAAACGATGAAAGGTGAAAGATAGATACAATATTAGACAGACATAAATGCAAGGGCTCCACAGTTCATTATGATTTCTTGTTTGAAAGTATTGTTACCTGAACAACGGCTGTGTAATTCTTTTCAGAGAAAACTGGGGCATTATCATTTACATCAGAAATTTCAACATTGAGAAGGGCAATGCTTGAAAGAGGAGGTATGCCACCATCAACTGCTTCAACTTCAAGAACATAACTTGACAAAACTTCTCGATCAAGTGGTTTAGCAACAGAAATGTATCCAGAAGAGTTGTCTGACGCAAATTATCTCCACCTCTGATTTTGTATGTTATTTGCCCATTTATATCACTATCAAAATCGCTAGCAGTCACCTATAAAATAAAGGAATTACATTGTATAAAAGATTCGAGTCATTGTTGAACATATACCTATGAGAATTAAATTGACATGTAAATTCACCTGAAGTATTTTTCCACCAATATCAGAGTCTTCCCTTATACGAGCTGAATATGAAGGTTGGTTAAAGATAGGAGCATTGTCATTTCCGTCTGAAATGGATATATTGATTGTAGCTTGGTTGCTTAGTGGGGGCT